GGAGGAAGAGGAAGGCAGGAATTCTGATGATGATGCTGATGGTGGTCATGGTGATTGTGATGGTGATGACGCTGATGATGCTGATGAGGACGATGATGATGACACTGAAGATGCTGATGCTGCTGATGATGATGGTGATGGTGATGGTGATGGTGATGACGATGGTGATGATGATGATGATGAGGATGACGATGATGATGGTGGTGAGGATGATGGTGATAGTGATGGTGGTGGTGGTGGTGATGGCGATGGTGATGGTGATGGTGATGGTGATGGTGATGCTGCTGCCGCTGCTGCTGATGATGATGATGGTGGTGAGGATGATGATAGGGACCAGAGTAAACCACAGATGCAACAACGATGCTGCAATCCCCCCTCTGTCCCAAGCCCAGCCCCTCCTCAGTCAACACGGTAAGATCGCTCCCTTGAAGAAAAAGACGACCCGCCTCACAGGCTTGCCGCTTCTTGCGAGTGTCCCGCACTGAAGTGGAACTGCCCTGCATCCTTCGAGCTATCAGGAACACCAAGATGTGGGGACATAAAGTTCAAGGAAGTGTCAAGCGCGAGTCCAGGTGTAGAAAGGAGTTGGCCTCCACCATCGTTGCACAGGCTTGCGATGGGTTCGTGTCGTGTCGACGCGGTGGCGACCCCAGCGCGGGCCTTCAAGGATGGGGACCGTCAGTGGCCCAGAATCGAACGATCTGCGCTATCGGAAGTCGCGATCGGTCAATTTTGAACGATCCACGCGGTGTCAGAAATCAACGCGCAAGGCGTCACGACACGAATTTGCCGTGCACTTCAGGTCATGCAGACTGAATCGAGATCCCCAGTTTGAAAAGGAGTCGCCCTCCATCCGTGCAACTGTGGAACATGTTTACACTTCTGGCCTTACAAAGTAAGCGAGACGTAGGGGGGATCCCCATTTTGAAAAAGAAACGCCCTCCGTCCCTATCCCTACAACGGGTGCGCGCGACGCTAGGACGAGAGTCACATTGTAATCCGAATGTGCGCGGTGCTTAGGCGAGGGCCACTTTTGAAGACTGTTTGCCCTCCATCAGTGTGAGTGGTTTTAAGGTAGGCCGTCGGTCGACCTGGACCTGTGGAACGTTCGGGCATCTGCACGGCGGTGGCGACGATTGCGATGGCGACGACGTCTCCCCCATCGCCGACACCCCCTAGAGCCAGCCAGCCGGTGATCCCTCTGCCCATGCGCGTTGACGTCTGGTCCTGACGTCCACGCCGGCCTCCAACGACACTCGCGCAGCGCTGGCTGCGGCCATGGCCACGAGCCTGGCGAAGAGCCCGCATCCTTCAGCACACCAGTGCACCGTCGGGCGCGCAGCGTCTTACCGCCCGTTCGGAGGCTTGCCCACGCGGGGTCGCCCTGGCGTTTGACTGCTCCAACGCCTTCAACAGCATCCCGCGCGGCAAGGTCCTGGACAGCGTGCGCCATGGGGCCCCTCGACTGTTCCTGAACACCCGCCAATGCAGACCGAGCCCACTGCGTCCGAGCCACCAGCGGCGTGGACCAGGGGTGCCTGCTCTGATCAGCGCTCCTCGCAACAGGCATCGCGGACCCGCTCGACGAGCTCTACGCGTGTCTCCAGGTGTGTTCAGCTGTCTTGACGACATTATGGTTTTGTCCCGCCAGAGTGCGCAGACGAAGCCATGCAACTCTTGGTTGACATCCTCACAGGGTACGGCCTAGCAGTAGATAAGACCAAGACCCAGGCGTAGTCAGCGGGAGGGAGCGACCATTTCGCTGCCACCGTCTAGACGCGCTGGCCGGCTTTGACGAGGCCACAGCCGTGGCCGAGGCCGCGGCGTTCGCCGCCCGCCTGCAGGAGCCGCGGCAGGCGGGCCTCTGGGCCGAGCGCGCCTTCACTCAGCTGCAGACCTTCATCCGCGGATGCGTCACGCAACACCTCCGCGCCAACCTGCAGGGAAACTGGGCGGAACAGCTGGGCCGCATCTTCGTCGGCTACTTCGAACAGCTTCGAACAGCTTCGACACCCACAAGCACCTCCAAGCCATGCTGCGCCTTCTTCGACGGCGCCCGCCGCCTACGCCGCCAGCTGGGCTTTCCTGCTCCACGACGTGATGACCTGCCTGTGGGCCAACTCGCTGAAAGAATTCCGGGCCCGTTGCCTGCAAACACAACGTACGCTCGACCAGGCGAAGGCGGCCCTCCAGGCGGCAGACGTCCTCCAAACGCCTTTCGACTGGATAGGCTGCGCGCCAGGACCACGACCAACGTTGCAGGACCTTCTTGGGGCAAAGCTGCATCCGCGGCCACCAGGGAGAAACTGATGCGGATCGCCGCATAAGCTTGCGGACGCGGAGGGACAGGAGCTGGCAGCTCGCTCCCCCCGCGTCAACCAGGCGATCCTGGCCAACTCGACGCGCACTTCGTCAGCCGCCTGAGGCGGCGGCTCTGCGTCCCAGTCTGCCCGCCTGGCCCCCGCTGCCAGCAGCGCCGCGACGGCAGCCTCGGCAGCCAGCTCCTCGATCCGCGCGGCTGGCGTGCAGTCGCGTGCCAGATGGGCGAGTCGCGCAACAACCGCCAAATTAGCTGCCGCGGCTGGCAATCCCCGAAGCACAAGGCGGTCGTAGGCTTCGCGGCGCCCACAGATCAGGCCGTCCCCGCCTGGGATCGCCGCAACCCCAGCACGGGGGTTTTACAGTAAACGGTCCTCGACCCCGAGCGCGCTCGGGCGTTAGGCCCGCTCAGAGCAGCCCCCCGCCCTACGACGACCGCCGCCCCGACCACCAGCAAGACGACCACCACGACCGCTGCTTCGACGACGCGCCCGCCACCACGACCGCAGCGACCACCGCCACCGCCAACACCTGCACGACAACTGCCACGACCAGTCCGATAGGCACCATCACGACGCCCACGACCACTACCACAACGACCGCCGCCACTACGACGCAATGATCACCCCTCGCCGCCCCCCCGCCTCCCTTCCTTCCTTCTCTCCTGCCCGGGCGCATTTGCCAATAGTTTTCGTCTACTCACTTCGTTAACTTCTTTATTTTTTTGCTCGGTAACAGAGCCTGGCCAGTGGAGTTCTGTGCTATGTGCGCCATGCGTGATGTACGCCGCGATGCGCGCGAAGCGTGCCACCGGGCCCTGCCTCAACGAGGCGTGGCCTTGGCGGTGCCTGAGGCGGAAGCTTGGGCCACAAACCCTACTGGCTGGTGATGTGGGGTGGTGACGCACTTGGGTGGGAGGAGGGAAGATGGAGGGAAGATGGAGGGAGGGAATATGGAGGGAGGGAGGGAATATGGAGGAGGAGGGGGGGGCGGAGGAGGGGAAGGAGGAGGAGGAGGAGGAGGAGGAGGAAGAGGCGGAGGAAGAGGATGATCAAGTAAGCACGTCGTGCGGCGACCTCAGCAACGCAGGCGTGGCTGGCCAGAAAAGATTTGTGAATTCGATTGCGGATGATCGCTCTTCGGGCAGACGTGATAAGTCGCACCCCCGAGCCGCAGGCTGATTATCAGTCGAAGTGCGACTACCGCACGATGCGACAAGTGAGCATGCCGACGCGCCGCTGTGATGGGACACCGCTCGGGAGCGCGGACATGCAACCGCGGCTCCGAAAGCAGCCGCCGGGCTCTCTCCCCGAGTGGGGCTGCCCAGGCTTGAAGTGGAGGCTCGTGCGCAAACGTTCGACGTTGCGCAAGTGGTTTGCGCGTGTGGTCGGGGCGCGGGGTTTCCCAGGGCATTGCCGCTGGAGGAGCTGAATACGACCTCCTAGTGAAGAGGCGCCGCAACGTTCACAGCACAGGGGCGACGAAGAAAAACGGGGGCGTTTGCGCGGACATTCGCGCGTAAGGTTCCTGCGTAAGGTCGCGCGTGAGCGCCCTCGTTTCCAATGTGGCGTGCCACGCTGGCGGCCCGCGTACTCCGCGGCATCAGGTCGCTGCATCATCGTGGGTAAGACCCGTTTCTTTTCGTCGCTCATGTGGCGCTGCCGTTCTGAATGACGCGGCGGCCCATGGCAGTGGAACCCCCAGGAGTTTCACGCCGACGGCGCCCTTGGCCTCGTCGGCGGCCTCGGGGGGCTCTCCTCACGTCCGAAGACAGCGTCGGCGGGGTCCAGGGGAACCTGCATTGCAGGACTCGCGGCGGTACGGCCGCGGAATCAAGAAAATGGGGGAGGAGGAAGATGACGAAAAGGAGGAGGAGGATATGAGGAAGAGGAGGAGGTGGAGGAGGAGGAGGAAGCGGAGGAAGAGGACCAGTATACATCCAAGGCGTATCAACGATGTTGCAGCAATCACCCGTCCGTTCAACTTCCGCTTTCATAGACCCTTGCAATATTTGATGTTCATTCCGAGAAGTGCTCCATCTGAAGAAAACCGTTTGAGAACCTTTAACCATGCCAGACTGCCGTTTCCAGGGTATTCAACTCCGCGAATCAGCGTGGCCGTTGTGTCCCGAAAGCTCAAACCGTACTACAACACGGTTCCTGGGATTTCAACGTTGCGAACCAACGTGATTGTTTCGTCCTGACATTCTTAGGTTGTGCCAGATTGCCAGAACGCCGTTCCAGGGACATCTTTCATACGAGCCCTTGAACATGCTGTAGAAGATGGGACGAAGTGCGTGGCGCCAAGGCGAACACCACAACTTGAAACGGAACTGCCCTCCATCATTGAACATGCTACAGACTTTTACACAGGATGTGCGCGACGCTAGCGCGAAAGGTACATTCAGAAACCTGGAAGCCATTCATCCTTGAATGCGTTGCAAATTCAAGCTTCAGGATCATTAGATGGTGATGGCGTCTCAGGCGAAACGATCGGCACCGACCCGTCTGCGGGTGCGACCGGGAGGATGTATTCATAATGACAAGGGATGATGGAGGAATGATGAGGAGGAGGAGAAAGAGAAGGAGGAGGAGGAGGCGGAGAAGGAGGAGGAGGAGGAACGAGGACGTCGGCGACGGCGACGGCGACGGCGACTCCCCATGCCCTGCACTTCCACCCAGTTCCAGCCTGCGCTCGTCGTTCAGCTTGAGGAGGAGTGGGGCGACTGGCTCTCCTCGCAGCGCCAGGCCCGGCCCTGGGCGGCTCGCGGCCTCCCCCCGCCATCTCTGCGGAGGAGGCGGGGGAGGCGGGGGTGAAGGAGGAGGAGCAGGAAGAGGAGGAGGAGGAGGAGCTAAAGGAAGAGGGACAGACAAATGATGATGATGATGATGATGATGCTGATGATGATGATGATGGTGATGATGATGAGGATGATGAGGATGATGAGGATGATGAGGATGATGATGATGATGATGATGATGATGATGATGATGATGATGATGATGATGAGGATGATGAGGATGATGCTGATGATGCTGATGATGCTGATGATGATGAGATGATGAGGATGATGATGATGATGATGATGATGATGATGATGATGATGATGTTGATGATGATGATGATGATGATGATGATGATGATGGGGATGGTAATGATGATGCTGATGATGATGATGCTGATGATGATGATGATGATGAGGATGAGGATGATGAGGATGGTGATGATGATGATTGTGATGAGGATGAGGATGATGAGGATGATGAGGATGATGAGGATGATGATGATGATGATGAGGATGATGAGGATGATGAGGATGATGATGATGAGGATGATGATGAGGATGATGAGGATGAAGCTGATGATGCTGATGATGCTGATGATGATGAGGATGATGAGGATGATGAGGATGAGGATGATGAGGATGATGATGATGATGATGATGATGCTGATGATGTTGATGATGATGATGATGATGATGGGGATGGTAATGATGATGCTGATGATGATGATGATGATGATGATGCTGATGATGATGATGATGATGAGGATGAGGATGATGAGGATGATGATGATGATGATGATGAGGATGATGCTGATGATGACGATGCTGATGATGATGATGATGATGATGATGGGGATGGTAATGATGATGCTGATGATGATGATGATGATGATGAGGATGATGAGGATGATGAGGATGATGAGGATGATGAGGATGATGAGGATGATGATGATGATGAGGATGATGAG